CCCCCCCCCCCCCCCCCCCCCCGGCATTAAGAAGCTTCTTTGACCACAGCTCAGAGTAGCACAGATTTCCCTACATACATACAATGATTATTCAGAGAGCATTTGACAATATGACTTGAGAAAAACCAAATCTATATGTTCTCTTTAGTCTGTGACTTCCTTAGCCATGCGTTTTGGTCATGCTTACTGTATCAGGCATGAATTTCCTCCTGTGGAGTAGCCCTCAAATCTAATTTGAGAGACTGATGGTTACTCACCTTTGATGGTCTTGTCACTATTGCATCAGAGGGTACATCTTTGCTTTTCAAGTCAGTATTGTAGAATTCAGGGTCCAGCATTGGGTAAGACCATAAATAGCTTCTTTCCATCAGTAGCTTGCATACCTTACTGTGACAGCTAGCCAGCAAGGACAGCATTTCTTGGTCTGTTCAAGATTGGTTCTTCATATCCTACAACCAAAATATGCAGTGTCTTCAGCAGTAAGATTCTACCATGTAGTTATAGTGAGCAACCAAAAGCATGGCAATAGCCTATATTATTTCAGATACCTCTCAAAGTAGTAACCTGTAGGGAGGTAGCCTGTGACTGGCACTGAGATTTTGAGTTAACAAAAACCTTACAGGCTTTTAATAAAGGTTTCTCCATGTATCCTTCGTTTTCATTAACCCAGCTCTTGTTCCTCCTTTTTCCCACACCCCATTTTCCACTACTTAAACATTTGTCATCCAGTGCCCCCTAACACCACTTCTTTCATATCATTGTGCTTTACTATGCTCTCTAATAATAATCCTGCTTCCTCCTCCTCCTTTTTTTAATTGTACTGGGGATTGAACCCAAGGTCCTTGTGTTAGACCAACTCTGCCACTAAGGTATGTCCCCAGAACCTTTTCTTTTGAGATGAGGTCTTACTAAGGTGTTGTGGCAGGCCTTGAACTTGTCATCCACCTGCCTCATTTACCTAGTACCTGGGACTCTAGGCCTGCACTGGCCAGGCCTGGCTAGCTGCCCTTCATTATAAATAAGATGAAAGTGTAGCCTGAACTTTCTTCTTTTGCTCTAACCTGTTTAGACTTTAAACTAATGTTTAAATAGTTTAAATTATTTAATATTTAGTAAGAAGAGAAGACTGCAACATTGACTTTAACTGTTTTTTCTTTTCTTTTCCAGAAAAGAACACATGGAGTATACTGCATACTCAGGGAGCTCTTGTGCAAGGGGGCTATGGTCATAGCAGTGTTTATGATCACAGGACCAAGGCCCTGTATGTTCATGGTGGCTACAAGGCTTTCAGTGCCAATAAATACCGGCTTGCAGATGACCTCTACAGATATGATGTGAATACCCAGATGTGGTGGGTGCTTTTCCTAGAGCTTTCCCTTGGTGGCCTAGAGTCTGTCCAGCATTGTGTGTAACAAAGTTAGGAAATAAATACAGTAAAAAGTGCCTAGTATTTATTTTGTTTCTGTCTTTTCTGTTCTTAGGATAGTTCTGTTCTTAGGATAGTTAGAAAGTGCTTAGTGTTGTGGACTGATTCCAGTTCTTATCCACTGAATTCTACTATAGATTCCTCTCTCCAGAATTCTCAGGAGTAGAGTTGTGCTGATTTTATACAGACTTAAAAAGCATGTCCTTTCTTTTTTCCTTTTTGGTGTTAGGGAACCAAACCCAGGGCTTTACACATGAGTGGCCTGCACCATCATCAGTCAATATACTGTTTAACTTTTGTCTTGAAGACCAAAGTGCCATTGTTGGGGTCCTTTGCTGGTTTTATCCTTTGAAACGTCAAACAGAATGAGCTCATACCTGATAATTTCCCTCACTCTGAGCTGTAGTGCAGCCTGTACTTTTAGCAAATGTAAATAAATTTGAGTTGTGAAATAATTATAAAACATGGGTCTCCACCTTTGACTCCCCCCGCTTACTGTCTCTCAACATGCACCAGAGACCATGCTGTGGGTGTAATTTTCATTGTCATGGAGACCACTGTCCTCAGTGGCTGTACACCTCTCAGCCTATACAATTGAAGGTCTGATCTCTAGCTTTTGCCTTACTAATAAAATATTAAGCATAAATTTTGATCTGTAATTTTATGTAATTTTTACCTGGAAACTGGAATTATAGAGCCATAGGGTGTGAACATTTTAAGTCTCTTATAGTTTCCTAAAATTCTTACAGACTTTTATGAATTTTTTAAGTAAATGGCTTATATATAGGGGTTTTACACATTTGATGCCGAAGTTATAAAGTTATACATGTAAATTGGCAGATAGATAAGTATTCTTCTAAAACTAACCTTGTATTTATTATTTTTAAATAAACTCAAAAGGACCATTCTTAAGGACAGCCGATTTTTCCGTTACTTGCATACAGCTGTGATAGTGAGTGGGACCATGCTGGTGTTTGGAGGGAACACACACAACGACACGTCCATGAGCCATGGCGCCAAATGCTTCTCCTCGGACTTTATGGCCTATGACATTGGTAAGTTTTCCAAAGATGTTTTAGCTTCAGGCGTATTTTCTTTGCCTGTGAGCAGCGTTGAGGATTGATGTTAAAATAACGGCTCTATTTGGAAGAAGTCCAGTCAGGTAGTAGTGGTGGTGCACACCTTTAACCCCAGCACTTGGGGTGCAGTGGATCTCTAAGTTGGAGGCCAGTCTGGTCAACAGATCAAATTCTGTAACAGCTAGAGCTACACAGAGATACCATGTCCTGAAAAACGTGAATGAAAAAAATGAGTAAATAAAATTAAAAATTAAAGAAGTAGTAGAATTTATATTTATTTGAGTAAGGTTATACATGTTTTGAAAAGCATTACTTTACATTAAACTGCGTTAAATTCTTTTAAAAATCATTTTTGTTAATTGCTTGGATTCTTTTTTTTTAAGACTGATTTAACTGGTATCTCCTTTCTTATAACTGCCTTACGTAGAAGTAGTGTGTAGTTGTAACCACAAGCGTCATGTTAAGTTTGATGAGGTATGCATTAGCTATGTGCCATTTTCTAGAAACCTGTCTTCACACATGCTTTTGATGTGGATGTATCTGTGACCAGAAGGGGGCAGTGTTGATTTATTCATCACTATAGATGAAATCTATAGATTTCATCTATTTATTTTCATCATCATAGATGAAAATAAACATCTAATGTTCGTTTATATAAATACCATCAGATATTCTTTTGTTTTTGTTTCTGCTTTGGCCTGGAGCTTATTACTATTCAAGCTGATCTTGAACTCAGAGAGACACTCCTGCCCCTGCCTCCTGAGAGCTAAGATTAAAGGTGTGTACCACCACACCTGGCTAGATGTTCAATTTTAAAAATTATTCTTATTGTGGCAAAATGCACATAATAACACTTACCACCTTAGCGTCATAAGTGGTTTAAGTGAGCTAAGTATATTCATGCCGTATCACCATCCGTCTGCATGCCCTTAAGTAATAGTCCCTCTCTTCATCCTCACTCCAGCCTCTTGAAATCACATTCTGATCGTCTCTGTGATTTTGACTAGTCTAGATCAGGTGTTCATTTTTAAAAATCTTGCTTATTTTTATTTTATATGTATGAGTATTTTGCCTACGTGTATGTTAAGTACACTGTGTGTTCAGTGTCCCTGGAGGCCAAAAGTAGGCATTGGGGTCTTTGGAACTGGAATTATGAGCTGAGATGTGGGTGCTGGAACTACACACAAATCCTCTGGAGCTGCGCAGTGAGTGTTCTTAACTGCTAAGCCATCTTGCTAGCCCTAGGTCTTTGTTCTTTAATAAATATGGCTGTGCTAGACACTGAGCTTTTTTTTTAAAGATTCATTATATATATATATATATAGTGTTCTGACTGTATGTATGCCTGCATGCCAGAAGAAGTCATCAGATCTCATTATAGATGATTGTGAGCCGCAATGTTGCTGAGAATTTAATTAGGACCTCTAGAAGAACAGTGAGTGATCTTAACCTCTGAGCCATTTCTCCAGCCCGCCACTGAGCTTTTAAGTTGAGAATGATGGATACATTAAGTCAACTTTCCTTCAAGTTGAGGAAGCAGAGAAATGAGCAGGTGCTGGGCAGACAGAAATAATAACCTTGGGCATGCTGTGGTGAAAGCTGCAGGGTGGTTGGAGGCTGTAAGGACAGAGGTCAAAAACTAATGAGTTAGAGGAAAGATCTCTGGGGGAGGAGATAAGAGGTCCAGGGATCTTGCTATACTGTGGTCCCAGAGAAAGAGGCAAGGCTGACTAGGTAGGGTCTGTTCTCCCTGTGAGGAAGATAGGGCTGAGGTTTAGCAGGAAGGCTGCTGCTGTTGAAGCTGAGTGAAGGTGTGGCTGGATTGAGAGCCTGCATTTGCTGTCTTCAGAGTGAGACAGTGAACATGAGCAGGTTCTGCAGTGGCAGTTGACGTGACCATCCACCAGAGAAACTGGAGCAAGAGCCATGCAGAGGGAAAAATCAAGAGATCTGAGGGAACCAGGGAAAGATGAGGCATTACATAAGGTTTAATAGAATTGTTTTTATTTTCCACCTATATTTTCCCATGGTTAAGATTAAACAATTCAGGCGGGCGATGGTGGCGCACGCCTTTAATCCCAGCACTTGGGAGGCAGAGGCAGGCGGATCTCTGTGAGTTCGAGACCAGCCTGGTCTACAGAGCTAGTTCCAGGACAGGCTCCAAAGCCACAGAGAAACCCTGTCTCGAAAAACAAAAAAAAAAAAAAAAAAAAAAGATTAAACAATTCAGTATAGAGACAACTAGAAAACAGTTGTGAACCTGGCATGGTGGTGCACGCTTTTAATTCCAGCACTTGGGAGGCAGAGGCAGAGGCAGGTGGATTTCTGAGTTGGAGGCCAGCCTGGTTTACAGAGAAAATTCCAGGACAGCTAGAGCTACACAGAGAAATCCTGTCTTCAAAAACAAACAAAAATAACAAAAATTGTGAACCGTTGTGTTTTGCCAACTTAAGCTTCATTGATTATAAAATTGCCTTTTCCCCCTTTTCTTTGTGTGTGTGTTGAGACAAGATTTTACTCTGTTTGAAGTCTCAGAGTTGCTGTGTAGTTGTAATTGAGGCTCACCTTGAATTCCTTATCCTCCTGTCTCCACCTCCCCTAGTGCTAGGATTAGAGGTGTGTACTTCATGCCCAGCATTAAACTTTATTTATTTGCTTATTTATTTTTGGTTTTTCAAGACAAGTTTCTCTGTATTGCCCTGGCTGTCCTAGAATCTGCTCTATATACCAGGCTGGCCTTGAACTCACAGAGATCACACACCCGAGTCTCTCAAGTGCTGGGATTAACAGTGTGAGTCACCGCTGCCTGGCTGCATTAAAAATTTTAAATTAGAAAATATCTTGGCGGGCTGGAGACGCACCTCAGCAGTAGGGCGCTTACTTGCCATACACATGGCCCTGGGTCTGATCCCTAGCACCACAAAGAAGAAAAAATTCAAGACTAAAGCAGACGTTCTGGTGGATAAAAAGGCAAACAGTAGAGTAGTGACAATCACAGGGGTTGCCGTGGGAGTTGCATACATTCATTGAAGTATCTCTGTGCAGTGCTTTTATTTCATGCCTTGAAATGTTGCTGCTACTTCTGTTGTTGTCCTTTACACATAAATAGTATAACTAAAAAGGAAGAAAAGCATATTTTATAAGGCTGTTTGCTGCATTCTTTGTTTCTTTTCTTTCTGTCTTTTTTTTTTTTTTTTGAGACAGAGTTTCTTTTTGTAGTCCTGACTGTCTGGAGCTCACTGTGCAGACAGGCTGGCTTGAACTCACAGAGATCCTCCTGCCTCTGCCTCCTGAGTGCTGGGATCAAAGGTTATGCCACCACACTTGGCCTGCATTCTTCTTTCCGAAGACTGTCAATTCCTGTTGACTACAAATGACAGTCTTTTCTGAAATGTATTTTTCTTGCCCTTAGCTTGTGACCGGTGGTCAGTGCTTCCCAGACCTGATCTCCATCATGATGTCAACAGATTTGGCCACTCAGCAGTCTTGCACAACAGGTAACTAGAAAGCTAAGGTTGTGTTACTGTCTTACATCTTATATTCTTTTTTATATCAATGTTCTAAAAGTTGTATCTAAATGATAAGAGGTTTGGGGAGAAAAAAGGAGAGAGATCAGTTTAAGCACAGGATACGGTAAAAGGAACAGGGCCAAAGAGATTGTGGAGACATAATGAGTTTCAAGTCTGCTCTGCGTCAAAGTGTGTGCTTAGGAACACCTTTCTGATCAGCAGAGCTCCTTGTCCATCTGCCCCAGGCAAGCTTAGTCTAGTCAGAGGACTGGGACTGTAGCCCAGTAGTAGATTTCTTACCTGGCAGAGTTCCGATCCCAGCACTGTGCCTTCCTCAGATACAGCCTTTACCATAAAGGACACACAGAATGATCCCTTTACTTGTTCACTTTAAAGTGAGCTTTAAAGGTTGAGAAACTAAATAGCCTGCTGATGTTAACTTTTCTCATTTTGCTGCTATTATTTTTATTGGAAGCCAGCAGAGACCAGCTCTGCTGACTTTCTTCCAGGGTTCGGTTAGGTTTCTTCGGCATAGCGAAAGGGATCTTAGGATGATTCTGATTTGAGGGAAAGGATCACATGTTTGTAGTTCCAGTCTTACCTCTATTGTTCTGCTTTAATTCTAATTTTCTTGCCCTAATTGTCTATAATTTCTTAGCTCTTAATTCTCTGTCTCAATTTTAATTCCAATTCCAATTCTCTATTACACACCTCTGTTCCAATTCATTCATGTTCTAATTACTCTACATTCTTTTCTCTTCTTTTTCTTCATTTTCCTACATTCTTTATCCTTCTACATTCTTTTTTTTTAAAGATTTATTTATTATGTATATAGATTCTGCCTGCATGTATGCCTGTACACCAGAAGAGGGCACCAGATCTCATTACAGATGGTTATTGAGCCATTATGTGGTTGCTGGGAATTGAACTCACGACCTCTGAAAGAGCAGCCAGTGCTCTTAGCCTCTAGCCATCTCTCCAGTGCCCCCCTTCTACATTTTTTACTCTTTCAATCTTATTTCTTCCACTGTTACAAATTTCCAAGGAAATGTACACATCCTTTCATTAACAACTTGTTAGTAATAAAATATTACAAGGAAAATTCTCAGGGACACAGGCACTCTTTGACGATACATAGCAGACCTTATCAGCTAGTTGCAGGGATGGGGAGGTTCTGGCCATCTCTTAAGGTAGCCACTACAGGTTATAAAGGGAGAAAACTAAACCTTTGCTAGAGCTAAGAAAAAGGCAAAGAATATGTATATTATTTTATGTTTCTTAAGTGTAAGTAATCATACCTAGACATCGTTAGTCAGGTGCTGTTGCTCTCTTGAAGGACTGTGATATAACAAGGACAGACACCTGCCATACTGCCCCAATTCATCATGAATCTTTGAAGGACTTAGAGCTAGCAGAGCCAGACACCTGCACTTCTGCTCTGTGAAGTTCCTCCTGTGCTCTCTCCGCAAGGACCTCCTTCTGGCCAAATCATCCTGTCAGGGGATTAGTTAGAGAGAACAGGCTTCTAAGTTTTTTGTTTTTTGTTTTTGTTTTTTTAATTGCAGTGTGAGACAAAAGGTTTGACTGTCTTTTTTTATATGTCGGTATACACAGTTTGGGGAAAAGTCATCCTACTAACAGAACATGGAAACTGTGCCCGATGTGAGGAACACAGTGCAGGGAAACATGCTCCCACACAGGAGAGTCTGCAGTTAGACAGCCCCGCCAGTCAAAGCACTGTGGATTTAACCTCCACAAGATATACAAATCTCTGGTGGGTTGGCCTTCTAAATGCCAGCTGATCTACTGCGTCACCATGCAGATCCCATAAGTTATTACTGCTTCCTGCTTCCCCCTTTAAAGTTCAAAGTTTTATAAATCCTACCAGGTGGTGGTGACACACACTTTTAATTCCAGCACTCTGTGAAGCAGAGGCAGGTGGATCTCTGTGAGTTTGAGGTCAGCCTGGTCTACAAAATGAATTCCAGGACAGCTAGGGCTGTTACACAGAGAAACTCTATCTCGAAAACAAAGCAAAATCCCCAGAAAGTCAAAGTTAAATAAACCCTAAAACTATTTAAATACTATAATGTTTATATATTAGCTTAGGTTTTCAAATTTTTGGTTAAATTACTTGTATTAGGAAAAATACAAAAATGATATTCTGGAATTTGGAAGAATTGACCATTTAGAAGCTAGATATTGGGAAAAGGTGATATATTTAATCACATGATTAGTTAATGTTTTATAAGTATTTAGGGTTTTGTGGCAAGGCCATTCTATGTATAGATACTAAAGTGGGAATATTTTTAAATTACTATCTTGTTAACTTGAGTGTTATCTTGAATTGCAGTCTGATTGTTTCCCTCAGAAAAGGTCCTAAGTTCCTCTTGAGGTTTTCACCTGGCAGGCAAGCATCAGGCCACCTGGCCTTGCTGGTGGCTGCTGTCTTCTCTCTTCATGTGTGTGTTCTTGGTGCTCTCCTAGCACAGGGTTAGGCACATTGTGGGCATTTGCTAGGTGCAAGTATACTAATATATATAT